CTCTGGGCCTTTTTCCCGTCGTGGCTGAAATTTACAGCACAGGAGCTGATAGCCAAACCATTAAAAAAAGAATGAAGGGATGCCTCGTGTTAGCCGCGTATAAAGCGTGGTGCCTTTGTTTTTTTTCTGTGGTGAACAGCTTAAAATGGCACTCACCAGGTTATAGCATTTTGAGCTGACATGTCTAGCGCATGCACTGAGCGCTCATGACAGTGTCGGCCAAGACTTTCAACACAACGTGTTATGGAAAGACCCAAAGTTTACCTTTGAATACCGCTTGCCCTTCTCGCGGGTGCGCGCCCCAAGATGAAGAGGATGACAGAAACGAAGCAAAGGCCCGGCTCTGACGTCATTTCTGTGCTCTGACGTCGTCCAATGCGAACTCTAAACTATTCCATGTATAAATGCTTTTTATACACAGAAGAGCAGACGAAAAATGTCCCGCTTCCTGGCTATACCCAACACGTTATTCGGGACTGATGAAGGCGGAACATTCCGAGAAATATTCGAGGCAGCTTGTGTAATTTCTGTCATCACTTTGTGAGAAAATGAATGGAACCTCATAGAAATAATAAGAAACACTAACAAAGAATGAGTACGTCTTTATGTTTAATTTCTTTATTTTGATTCACAATGAGATGATGCGCACATATCGGCCTCCCTTCCGCAAGCACTCGTCTTCTCGCCGTACCTGCGTCGTACTGGCGCCAACCTTGTCAACTGAGTGTAGTTTTGGTGCATCGTATCTGACAGCAGTTTGAGCCGTGCGATGCGTTGAGGATGCATGATCTGTGCCAGCCTCCCTCAAATTTACGCGCACTTAGGTATCCCTTACAAAGCAACAGGCAATGCGCTATCGAGAAAGAAAAATCAACAGATCCCACGTACCTGCGAATTGATGTTATGTAAAGCCTGTGGAGGGAAGGTTACCATGCTGCCATTTTTTTTATTGAGCGACACGTCATGAAATAACGCTAAATATATCTACAAACGTTGCACGCACAGACATATGTCGAAGAGCTGCAGATGTTTTATAACCTGTTGTTTGCACTTGCGCAACGATGCAATCTGGTACATGCGTATTAGCAACACCAGAAGCCAATATGAAGTGCTGATGCTCGCGAGGATGCTGGCCCCAGACACTGCTACATACATCAACTTCAGCACATGGCAACTAACCTCAATTCACGTTTACCCGACGTGACAGCTGCATCAAAAGAGTACATATATATTGTTCATAAAACTGGCTAGGCAGCACTGCAACCACTATTGACGTTTCACGACAATTAGCGTCTATTTGGAAAGTAGTTCCGATGCCTGGCGTTGCTTTGTGTTAAAATCCTTCATTGCCACGCAAAATGCTTCGGTTTGACTCCAGCTGGGATCCTGACATTTATTCTTTGCATTCGTCAGGTTGACGCTACCGAATTCGGGTATTTCGTAACGCTCGCGTGTTAAAATCGCTCATGTGTGTTCTCATCGTTCCTTGGCAGATGCTAAGTGTCAATCACCTGTGGCACATACCCACATACCAGTGGCACATACCCACCGGTGGGTATGTGCCACTGTCTGGCGGGAAGTGTTTGATGGCCTATGCGACAAGATTGCGACTTTATTCGCATCTTGACCAGCCATTCATATTTGTCGAACCATCTTACCCTCCCATGCTAATTTTGGTTCACGCCAAGTTAATGGGGTGACCACGTGAGCACCCGAACGTAAGCGGCTATACACATAGCTAGATACACAACGCTCAAAGTCGCCGAAGTTTGCTAAGAAATGCTTCGCGTTTAAAAGGGCCACCTGCGTTTTCCCACGGTGGGAGCCTGAGTAAATGCGTCGCAGAGTGGCGGGAGTATGGCGTGTATATTGCGTTATTGGGAAAGATTTGAGAATGGGTATTTGCTATTTAGTTTTTATCATAAATATTCATTGAATGACGGAGAAGCGTTGCCTTGAACGAGTGGTGGGACGCCGATATTGCGTTGTGCCCCACTACTGGTTGAAGGTACTCTTGTTTCCATTGCATCTACTCGTGCCAAGCAAAGCATCAATAAAGCGAAAGCCAAGTAAAGACGCCCTTGACTGAATTACGAAAGCGCGATGAAGTACATACATATACATGGTGGCCAGTGAGTGGTAATGCAGCGCGAGCAGTGAGGTTTTACCAGCAGACACCGCCTGCGTCGGTCTTGCGAGGTCAGAGAGGGAAGGGCAGCGATATTTGGCACGATACGAGCGCGAGCGTGCGCAGTGGGAGTGTGGCTGGCGCCGCCAACGTCAGATCCGCAATGTCGTGCGACTAAGAAGCGATTCGCATTGAAAACGTAGGTGGCAGTGCTAAAAAAATGTGAAGCTCAGCCATAAACAAATTGGCCCCGTATCTTCATTTTACTTCAATTTACACTACAAATGTCGTCGATAGACAAGTACTCTTGCATCTGGAAAAAGTGAGCACAATATTTCATTTGAAGTTCTGCGTGAGAGAATAGGTGAATGGGATACTGGAGGAGCTGAGTTAAACTGCCTTGATGGTGTGCGCAGCGGAGGTGAATAAGCGCATCGAAGCCCTCTACGCTGCGTGAGACATGAGTGCCTTGTGAAAGTTACTCGGAAAGCGAAAGCATGGCCTCTGAAATGGCAAGCGTGCGGCGTACGCTCGCGTCTCGGGGGCCATATTGTGTGAAATGCAAGGGTAGAAACAGGTGCAACTAGGTGCAACTATCGTCTTAGCAAATCGTAGTACACATCTGCCTTTTCTTGCATAGCATTGCATGCCAGCACAACCTGATAAACGCTACGGTCCTTAGAATCAATCACCTATGTGTGGCTTCTCTAGTATAAAAAACACACCTTAAAATATTGACGTGCTGATGCTGCGGCTCAGATATGTATAATATTTGCATAATAAGTGTTAATCGCACAAGTGTAAACGCAGTGACCAGAGCAATATGGGTGGACACTGCGGATGTACTTGGGTTTAACCGTTTCAAGTCTCTGACAACTCGGCTGACACACAGACCGACAGATAGATCAAAATTGTTGCATTAAAAATATCCCAACAAAGACTATCGTCTTTAAATCTTTAAGTTGTGTGTACGATTACACGCGATGAGCGAAGCTGGTTAGGAATGGGACGCAAACAACCCTGCGCCTGACCTGACTCCTGCCTGTCATGAATACAGTAGGGTGGGGCAACGTCTGCGGAACTAGTGCAGTTTCGCAACTCGTGCGCCGGCACACGCGGCTCATACGTGAAGGCGCAGGTGACGCAAATGCCGTAGCGTGCTGATAGGTGTGAGCGGTAACCGCTTACTACCGACTGCGCGTTTCTCCATGCTCGTTTTCTAAGTTCTGCGTGCAAGATTTGCAAACGCTTTACGCATGATACATTATGGAGCTGCAGCACCGCTAGTTCTTGTGTTGGCCCTCAAGAGTTCGCTGAGCAGATACTGATTTCCGGACGTCCAAAGGAGCATTGATTGGCAAACACGCTGTATGCGCATTGCCGGTTATCCGTATTTGCTTCCTTGCAGCATAGGCTACAATTTTTGAAGCAGCTCCGAAAAGGACCCCTTGAAGAGGAGCCTTTGAAACAGAAAAAAACAGCAGTCATACCCTGCAATGATAGCGTGAGCCGCAGGCTCATGACAATATTAGCGTAACCGGGCATGGAATAACTTTTTTTTTCTGCGCCAAGAAAGCTAAGCAGTTTGTGCCGACATGTGATGTGCAGTCATCCTGCTTGAAAACTATGCATTGAGAAGCACCGTTTGTTGCGTGTAAGAATTGTAAGAACGAAGGGGTGTATGAAATATCGTGCTCCTGTAGAAGCTCGTGCGTGAATTATATATATATATATATATATATATATATATATATATATATATATATATATATATATATATATATATATATATATATATATATATATATATATATATATATATATATATATATATATATATATATATGTAGTGGAAGCGCAGCCGCACAAGCTGCTGACTGCGCGTGCAAGCCGCACTGTTTTCATTAAGACAGTGCGGAGTTCCGAGAGCTGCGGGAAGCCTTGGAAATTCAGAAAAGATAAGATTGTGCCAGCTCACCTTTTGTTGCCTCTTAGCAAGAAGAAAGCTCTTTTTCTGAAGAGCTCAGTGCAGGTGTACCTGTGAAGAACCTGTGTCATACCCTGCAAGCATAGCGTGAGCCGCAGGCTCATGACAATATTAGCGCAACCGGGCATGGAATAAGTTTTTTTTCTGCGCCAAGAAAGCTAAGCAGTTTGTGCCGATATGTGAATTGCAGTCATCCTGCTTGAAAACTATGCATTGAGAAGTACCATTTGCTGCGTGTAAGAATGAGGAGGTGTACGAAATATCATGCTCCTGTAGAAGCTCGTGCGTGAATTATATATATATATATATATATATATATATATATATATATATATATATATATATATATATATACAGTGAGCAGTGCAGCCACACAAGCTGCTGACTGCGCGCGCAAGTCGCACTTTCTTCATTAAGACAGTGCGGAGTACCGGTGAGCAGATACGCCGAGACGAGAGCTGCGGGAAGCCTTGGTAATTCAGAAAAGATAAGAATGTGCCAGCTCACCTTTTGTTGCCTTTTAGCAAGAAGAAAGCTCTTATTTTGAAGAGCTCAGTGCAGGTGTACCTGTGAAGAACCTGATATCGGGGCGTTTTGCTGTGCTGGGGCTTTGACGCTACGTGTGCTTTTTTTACTTATGGCATATCTCATTACAATAAACTCAGTTGCTAGTTAGCCCTATGTATTTGTGCTTGTTGCAGCTTTCTGTCCTGCTTAGGTACCCTGTTACACGCTCAGAAGGGTAACGTCCCTATTACTATATATATAAACGTGAAACCAATTATATATTCTATGAATTGCAGTCTTGTTATTAGGACCTGTTTTTGAAAGTAGCGTGGAGCAAAACTTCTTGACATTTTCTTCACACAATTTTTATCTTCGCAGGTATCATTGCTATTGGAAAGACTGAAGACGCTACAGCACGAAGTGGTTACTCCCTCATTGAAGAAGCTCGAATCGATGCTCGTCAGCTCGACACGTTAGCCGGGCAAACTTTTGGTAGAAGCGATGCCCGTCAGCTCGACACGTTAGCCGGGCAAACCTTTGGTAGAAGCGATGACCGTCAGCTTGACACGTTATCTGGCCAAACCTTTGGTAGAAGCGATGACCGTCAGCTCGACACGTTATCTGGGCAAACCTTTGGTAGAAGCGATGACCGTCAGCTCGACACGTTAGCCGGGCAAACCTTTGGTAGAAGCGATGACCGTCAGCTTGACACGTTATCTGGTCAAACCTTTGGTAGAAGCGATGACCGTCAGCTCGACACGTTATCTGGGCAAACCTTTGGTAGAAGCGATGACCGTCAGCTCGACACGTTAGCCGGGCAAACCTTTGGTAGAAGCGATGACCGTCAGCTCGACACGTTATCTGGGCAAACCTTTGGTAGAAGCGATGACCGTCAGCTCGACACGTTATCTGGCAAACCTTTGGTAGAAGCGATGACCGTCAGCTCGACACGTTAGCCGGGCAAACCTTTGGTAGAAGCGATGACCGTCAGCTCGACACGTTAGCCGGGCAAACCTTTGGTAGAAGCGATGCCCGTCAGCTCGACACGTTAGCCGGGCAAACCTTTGGTAGAAGCGATGACCGTCAGCTCGACACGTTATCTGGGCAAACATTTGGTAGAAGCGATGACCGTCAGCTCGACACGTTATCTGGGCAAACCTTTGGTAGAAGCGATGACCATCAGCTCGACACGATGACCGTCAGCTCGACACGTAGCCGGGCAAACCTTTGGTAGAAGCGATGACCGTCAGCTCGACACGTTAGCCGGGCAAAACCTTTGGTAGAAGCGGATGCCCGTCAGCTCGACACGTTAGCCGGGCAAACCTTTGGTAGAAGCGATGACCGTCAGCTCGACACGTTATCTGGGCAAACATTTGGTAGAAGCGATGACCGTCAGCTCGACACGTTATCTGGGCAAACCTTTGGTAGAAGCGATGACCATCAGCTCGACACGTTATCCGGGCAAACCTTTGGTAAAAGCGATGCCCGTCAGCTCGACACGTTAGCCGGCAAACATTTGGTAGAAGCGATGAACGTCAGCTCGACACGTTATCTGGGCAAACCTTTGGTAGAAGTGATGACCGTCAGCTCGACACGTTAGCCGGGCAAACCTTTGGTAGAAGCGATGACCGTCAGCTCGACACGTTATCCGGGCAAACCTTTGGTAAAAGCGATGCCCGTCAGCTCGACACGTTAGCCGGGCAAACATTTGGTAGAAGCGATGACCGTCAGCTCGACACGTTATCTGGGCAAACCTTTGGTAGAAGTGATGACCGTCAGCTCGACACGTTAGCCGGGCAAACCTTTGGTAGAAGCGATGCTCGTCAGCTCGACACATTAGCCGGGCAAACGTTTGGCTGAATGTTAAATGATTGGCCTCACTAAATGTGCGATGCTATGACGGTGAATTTTTTTGGGGTTCTAAATACTTTTTTTCACACTTGGCAATTTTTTTTTCCTCCAAAACCATAAATAAATGAAGTATTACGTGACAGATGAGGTCATTTGTATTTTTTATAATTTTGATATCTGTTTCTGGTTTATTATCACCACTATGTTAATAGCATAGAGCCATGCTCGTTCGAGTGATATTGCACAATTACCTGTTTTTTACTGCACTTATACAGTGTTTTAGATTGCGAGGAAAGTTGACAATAGGAACAATACAGCCTGTTAAGTTTTGCATCATTTTGTACGAGCATATCAATTTAGAAATGATTGAATCTGCCCAAGTACGCGATTACAATTTAAGTAGAGTCGACTAGTTTTGTGTGCAATTTCTCCCTTTCGTTCTCACCCTGCTTGATTGACAGATATGTGAGGTTTAACGTCCCAAAACCACCATATGATTATGAGAGATGCCGTAGCGGAGGGCTCCGGAAATTTTGATCACCTGGGGTCCTTTAGCATGCACCTAAATTTGAGCACACAGACTAACAACTTTCGGCCTCACCCTACATATCGGTATGGTTTCGGTTGTACTATAATAATTTTAAGGGTGAAGGCCATGGTCGTGTAGTGAGGATATAAGAAGGCAGTAGAATTTCATATCTTCTTCCTCTTTGCTGTTTTCATACTGGTTGCAATCTCCGTTTCCCAGACGAAGGGCGCTGGGCGAGTTTGAATCTCTGAAAATATATAGGGTGACACCGCTTCAGCCGGCCAACATTAGCAAGTAGGTACAACCAATGCTACCTATGAAAGTATTTACAGGCCTGCTCACTGCCGCCGAGACGCCCCTCGTTTCGCCCGAGTGAGTGCGCGCACGGGAGGCTGTGAATCCATTGCCACCATCTTCTTCTGTTAAAAGATAAAGCGTTCGCGGCGAGTTTTACGCAATTAGCATATAGATTATGCCGTCTCCGACAAAACAGGCACTAGTTCAAGAATTTTATTACGCATGAAAGCAAATAGTGATTTATCTGCGAGCCATTTCTTCTAGAAAAAAGTCAAAGAGTGCGCGTTATCGAACGTGTGGTCAATCAATAAGAGCAAACATTTGTAGACTACCAAAGTGGCGAAGTAAATAAGGTAAATTTTATTCATTCTTTATTTGCACACACATGCGCAGACTATCTAGAACTTGCAGAAAAATTGTTCCTACTCATTTGCGACGTTTCCGCTGTTTTATTCGTACTCTTTCGAACATCTGTCTCCACAGACATGTCATTATTGAAGGGAGTGTGTGCTGCTCCCACAAGTGCGCTTTTCAGGGCAGTATCAGGACGACCACTCCAAGAGAAAACATAAGCTTTCTTATCACAAACAACTCTTGCTACAGACACAAGTAGTGGCGTCTCCCGTTTGCTCTGGCCCCTCTCGCAGTGATGCGCATATAGTCGCCCCTATAGACCATTTTAAGGTTTAAAACACAGGCCCTTGATGACATCCGGCTTTGTCCACCGATATGCCTTGATAGCATTGGTGGGCAACAAGAGCATTAGAAAAAGCTCAATTTTGTACAGTTTTTTTTTCTCCTATTCGGAAGTATAATGCAAATGAATGTTTCTTTTCAGCTACAGAAAAATTAATAAACATTCCCTTGTACTTTACGCACGTTCCTTTTATGTGAAAAACAGAACAGAGACTTTCCTTACCCTTGAAATGAGATTGAAAACGCGCTTTCATTTTCGACGTTAGGAGCTGGTAAATGAGGTGACCGGAAGTTTTTCAAGGTACAACGCTTGCAACCTTGAAACAGTCTATAAAGTAGGGCCTGGAAAAAATGTTAGTACTGGGTCTACATTCAACCGTGTAGCCCCTTTGCGTGCTTCTGCTGCAGCGCTGGTTCTTGAGTTGGTATATTTGGTAATGGTTCTTAATATTCTAGCTTGAAGAGCTCACACCTGAAATACATTTAAGAAAGTGCATTGGCGTAAGTGTTTACACGCATCTCAATTTCACCTAAACATAATAGGCTAAGGTGCTGGCAAGATTGGCGCAAAATTATTATTTGCAATGAAGCAGTTGGAACACCAGCAACAAAACACTATGCACAAAACTGAACTAAGCTATGACGCAGATTTCCTTGCATTTTTCTCAACCAAGAAATTGGACGTAACACAAGAAGTCCAATGCGCTAATCGACAATAGCAAAATGTTTACTGACCCTGAAGGAAAAGTGCCTGTTTTCAAAACGTACTGGCTCGCGCATTTATTATTTTAGTGCCTGGAATTACACTAACAAGTCAGAAACACACATGCTACCTCTGCTTTAGAGTAAGAACGGAACTTGGTGGAGATGGTTACAATGGAACGGCTTAAAAATAGATAATACGGACACACGCACCTCCGGGTCCCGAAGGAAATAGATGTCAACGTATGCTTGACGAACGATACGCTCCCACTTCGTTCTTTGACAGTCCTTAGGAAATTAGAACACTCGCAACATCGGTCCCTTTGCCGCGACAGTTTGCCACGCAGCATAGCCCAACTACTCACATTTGCAGCTGTAGAGATTGTGAATGTCCAGTGCAAAATCCACACTATCACATATTCATATCCACGCATATCCATATCACAATGTGATGTTTAGGACGGTTCGAGCACTTCCACTACTGTGCAGCGGCGCAGGAAACAGACAGGGAGATGAGTTCAAACGTTTATATACAAAAGAAGGAATATAAAAAGTCAGTGATGTGGGCGCTGTCGGGACGACCACCGCGGCACATGAGGAAGAACAGTCCCGTGGACTCACGACTCTCGAGCAGCGGTGGCGGAGATGCCTGGACCAGCGCAACCTCGTACGTCGTTTCCGAGCTCTTGATCACCGCCCGGGCGTAGCGGTTCCACGTGCGGGTTCTGGCCAGCACAGCACCGTCTGTGCCGTGCTGAAAATTGCTGCTCGCCACAGCTGCGGTGCGGCAGCTCAGTCACCGGCGTTCCTCGCCTTGGCCAGGACACAGCCAGGTACCCTCGGGTGCACAGCTCGTGAGCTCGTGGCCCACGTCCGAGTTTGGCACGTCGCTCGGTAGGGCTCGGCACCGCTCGGCGATCCTCGATTCAGCCAGCAACTCCCCTGGCACCTGGATCCTCGACCACCCTGGACCTTGCACGGCTCCGTGGTCCTCCGTGCACACGCCTGCATCTCGCCTGGCAGAACGTCTCGCTCGTCCCAGCTCGGAATTGCACGCTTTGGCCCGAACACTGCGAGCGCGCCTTGTCTTGTCTTGTCTCCTAGGAGATCTTGGCTCATACCCACATGGGGGATTTGCCACACTGTACCTCATAATAGATCATTTTTTACAACGCTTGCTAAAAAAATAAAGAGAAATTAGATAGGAACAATGCGAGCGCGCCTCTTGCCACCCGTGCCACCACGCTCTTCTTTGTTCCTCAGTGGTCGGTGGTCCGCGTCGACGTTTTTGAGATATTTACACGTGACACACATATCCATGCTGCAAATCACCTACGAAGAAAGACACGGTCTTGTTGGATCGAGTCACCAACAAGAACAGCATCACGCCACAAAAACGTTCGCAAGGCTTGGCAATCCATGTCTGTCGTGCGATGAGAGCAAGCGTACGCACGTCTGTGCAGCGAAACACACCGGTCTAAATGGAGTGACGTCATGCGTGCTGCAGACTCAGTAAGCAGGCCTAAAATTATCTAGGTGGTATTGGGACGACTCTACCGACAATCCGGGGACGGCAAGACTACGTCAAACTTCGCACACAACATAGCATAACAAATCAGTTCACAACTGCACAAATTCTCCTCTACACATCTACACACACGAACGCTGGCAGGTATGACGTGCTATAGATCGGTGCTGTGGTGCCACAGCTTGATGTCGAGAAAAATTCAGGCTTTTTCCAGAACACACACCGTCATGGCGACTTAGTATTAGCAGAGAACTCAACACGCAGTATGGTGCCCATGCAATACGTTTTAGCGGTTGACAAGCGCGGAGGTGAGAAAAAGCAGTGTAATGAATTATATAATGCTTCTCAGCTTTATAAGCATACGTGATGACGAAGACAACGTTATGCCATTGTGTTGGCTGGAATACGCATGCATCACCAACATGCGAGAGCTTTATTCGTACGCTCAATAAGCCCATTCGTTTCAGGGTAAAAAAATGTTGTATGAAGTAATAGCAAACTGGACAGGCAAACCTGTTCTTCTACGGCGTGCGTAATGAAAAATGACAACCTTTATTAATAAAAGGAAGCACAAC